GCCACAGGAAAGGAGAAAGGGGTGGGGGAGAGGGAAAAAGCGGGAAAAAGGAGAGTGCGGGTGAGGAAAGAAAGGGGTGGAAAGGGACGAAGGCACCCCCCGCGTGAAGGAGCCGAGGAAGAAGGCAGAAAGGAGGGAAAAACCCGCACAAACGGGCAAAAGGAAGGGAGGACGGAAAGAAGGGAGTAGTGGGACCGTCGAAGAAGAGAAGGTAACGGCCTGAGGAAGGTTGGTGGGCGAGGGAAAACGGAGAGGAAGGAAAAGGCCCAGAGAGAAGTCAAACGGGGGGGGGAGGGGAACCCGGTTAGGACGAAGCCCAAGGCAGCAATGAGATGGAAGGAGAGGGGGAAAAAAGCGGGCATGGCAAAAGAACAAACGGAAGAAACCAAAAGACCAGAAAGAAAGAAAAAGGGTGGAAAGGAAGACAAAAAGAAGAAGGAAAGGAACGACCAGAGATCGGGGTAGACGGCAAACGGGACCGCACGGCGACGCCGCGAGGCACCCGGTGAGGAGGGCACTGAAACGAGCCGCCCGGGCCCCCTACGACGATACAGAGAACGAGAATAAAGCACGGCCACCTGGCCCGGGTTAAGAGGGGCGAGGAGGGGCCCGGACACCAAAGAGATGCGGGGGCGGGCCCAAACGGCAAGACGAGCCGGAAGCGGAGGGACGAAGGCCAAGCGCATCCGAAGCTAAGCGGAGGACTCCCCCAGACGCAGCGCGCGCGGGGTCCCGCCGCCCCGGGGGGGGGTGGAGAGAAGAGGATAGGGGGGGGGCCAGACGAAGGGCGGCGGAGCGGCACCGGAGGACAGCAGAGGCAAGGCGCGGCGGGAACAAAAGGGGGGGGAAGAAAAAAGAGCGCGGGCAAAGAGGGAATCCAACGACGCCGCCACCACCGGGAAGGAGAGGATAAGGGCGGCGCGGCCGAGGAGGGGGCAAAAGGTAGAGGACAGAAGGGGAGGGCAGAGCAGAGCCGGCGAGTAGGAGACGGAGGCAAGGGGACCGATACACCCCGCAGAAAGCGGGGAGGGGCGGCGGAGGAGGAGGGGAGGAAGGTGCCTACAGGGGATGGTGGCTTGGAGGGGAAAGTGGGTGGAGGAAGGGTGGAGGGGGAGCAGGAAGAGGGGACCAGAAGGCACCCTCACGCGGGAGGGGCCGGGGCGAGGGAGAAGGGCGGAACAGCCCAACAAACCGGAGCAGGCGAGAGGAAGGCGGCACGAGCAGAGGGAGAACCGAGCACCACGGAATGAGAGGAACGGGACCGCGCAGCTGAGGGAAACCCAGAGAACGGCGGGAAAGACAACTAGAAAGGCCGGGGTAAGTGGGGGAGGGGGGTAAACCGGGAGGAAAGGAGGCCGAGGCCTGAACGAAGAGGGGGGATAGGAGAAGGAAAAAGGCGGGGAAAGAAAAAGAAAAAGCGGCCGGGGTAAAAGCGGGGGCAACAGCGAAAAAACAAACAAGGGAGCCGGAAGGAGGAAACAAAGAAAGGGAAAAAGAAGAGATAAGCAGAGAGGGCGACCACCAAGGAGAAAAAAAAAAAAAGAAAAAAAAAGAAAGCAGAAAGAAAGAAAAAAAACACAGAAGAGAAGAGGCAGGGAACCTGGACCGGGCCCAAGGCGGAACAAGAGGGGGAAGGGGAAGGGAAAAACGGCGGGAAAGAAAAAAAAATAGCCCTCAGGGAAAAGCGGCACAGCGAAAAAACAAGAAGGGACGGGCAGAGGGGAAAGAAAGAAGTAAAACAACAGCCAGAAAGGCGGCCAAAAGAAAGCGGAGAGGACGGGGCCGGAAAAAATGGCCCGCGAGGGGGCGGACCCGCCCAGCAGCAGGGGCACGAGCGAAAGAAAAGGAAAGGGTGGGAAGGGAAAGGGAGGAAGCCCGCAGTAAGACCACGGAAAGGGGGGAGGGAGAAAAAGGGGAAAAAGGAGGCCGAGGCGAACAAAAGGAGGGAAGGAGAAGGGAAAAACCAGCGAGAAAACAAAAAAAGAAAACGCGGCGGAAAGCGGAACAGCGAAAAGAGGAACAAGACAAGGGAAGAGGCAAAGCAGAAGGGGAAGCGTAGTAGGAGAGACAAAAGAAGGGAAAAAAGAAGCGCAGAAAAAAAAAAGCAGAACAAACAAACAGAGAGTTAGAGGGCATGGCAACTCGGACCGCGGACACGCCGGACAGGCACCCATAAACGCAGTGGGACCACGAAAGCGGGAGGGAGCCGAGCCCCCACAGCGAGCAGAAAAGCGCGGACAAAAGCGCGGCGACCAACGCAAGGGGAGAAGAGGACCAGAGACGGGGCCCGCGATGGGACGGGCAGAGAAACCACAAAGCCGGGCAGAGGGAAAAAACCGGGAAGCGGAGGGCACCGGCGCGGGAGGGAGGGAGAGCCAGGCGGGACCACAAAGAGGGCGGCGGCGCCCCCAAAACGGCGGCGCAAGGACACAAACCCGGGAAGTGGGGGCGGAAGGGGAAAAAGCGGAGCAACGAAAGGGAAACACCCGCCACGACCGCCCGGAAAACGCCACAAGAAGCGGCGCCAAGAAACGCAAACGCGAGCAGGGGCGCCGCCCGCTGGGAAGGACGCGCGCGGGAAGGGGCGCGAAAGAAGGAAACGGAAAAGCAGACCAAAGACACGGACAGGGAGGAGAGAAAGCGGAAAGAGAAGGGCGGGGAAAAACCGAGAAACAAGGGAGGGGAGGCAAAGAGGAGCAGGAGGAGCGAGGAGCAACGGAGGAGGGGGAGAATGAACCGGAGAAGCCGAGACAAGCGGGGGAAAGGCCAGAGATGGAGGGCAAAGGGGACGAAGACGAGAGGAAAGGAAGAAGACAGCCGGAGGAGGAGACGGAAGAGGAGGGGAGTCCACCAAGGACGAGGAGCAGGCATCCCAGGAAAGAGCAAGAGCAGCCAGACAGCGGTCAGCGAGCAAGCGAACCAGAAGGGGGGGCCGAAGCACAGGAAGGATAGGGGACAGGAGGTGGCAGGAGAGCACGTCCAAGTACGAGGGAGGGCAGCCTAAGGAGGAGAAGAAAAGGGGAAGCGGAAAAGCGGGGCGAAGACGCGAAGGGGAACGTAGGGGCCAGGAGCAGAAACGGAGGGCAAGGGAGGAGGAGGGAGGGACGGAGCAAAAGGAGAGGAGAGAAGCAGACGAGAGGAGGAGGGCAAAGGGGGAACGGTGGGGGGAACTCCAAACGCACCCGCCGGAGGGGGGGGGGAGGGGGCACGAGCGAGCAGACACCCGGAAAAAAGACGGGACGAAGAAAGCAAAAAAGAAGCAAAAAGAGGACAAAAAAGGGGAGAGAAAACCGAGGCGAAGACAAGCGGAGGCCAGGAAGCGGGGAGGGAGAGGGCAGAAGGGGCCGAAGAGAGTAACACACAGACAAGAAAAAGACAGAAGCAAAAGAAGAGACAGACGGAGGGGAGCCAAAAGAGGGGGGAGCAGCGAAAAGAAAAACGCAGGAGGGGAAGGGGGCCAACAAGCGCCCCCGGGGGGAGGAGGGAAAAGAGGACGGCGGGGAAGGGAGGAAAAGGAAAAAGAGGGCGCCGAAGGCCCCGCACGAAGGAGAAAGGAGACGAAAAGAGGGGAAAAGAAAAAAAGAGGGGTGAGAGAGAAAGAAACAAAGAAAAAGAAAAACAAAGGGGGATGAACCAAAACAACAGAGAAAGAAGAACAGAGAGAGGAACAAAGGCAACGGTAAAGACAAAGAAACAAGCAAAACACAGGCGCCACCGGGGAGAGAGAAAAAAGAGGGAAAAACAAAAAGAAAAGAACACAGAGAACAAAGGAAGAGCAGACAGACGCGAAGCAGGGGAAGGGGGGAGAGGTGGAAGAAAAGGAAAGGAAGGGGGCATAGGGGCGCAAAAGAGAAAAGGCGCCGCGGGAGTGGTAGGGCAAAACGGAGGAAAAGAAAAGGAAAAGGCAACGCACGAACAGCGAGAAAGGGGAAAAGGGGAAGGGGAGGAACCCAGGGGCGCAAGCGCCGGACAGCGGGAAGCCGGGGAAACAAAAAGTGAAGGCAAAAAGGAAGGAGAAAAAGAAAGGGGAGCGGAGACACGGCGGGGGAGAAAAGAGCGGAGAGAAAAGAGAGGCAAAGGAGGAACCAGAAAGCAGGGAGGCGCAAAGGCAAGGGGGAGGAGAGCAAGGGGCACAGAGAGGGGGCGGAGAGGGAAAGACGGAGAGGAGGGAAACGAACGGAGGCGGGCCCAGGGGGGGCCGCGGAGCAAGGTGGGGCACACGGGAGCAGAGTGAGGGGGGGAGACCACGGGGGCAGCGGGCAAGGAGGGGCGACAGGGGACACAGCTGGGCAGGGGGCGGGGCGAGGCCGCGGGGCAGGGTGCCAACGGGGGCCGGGGAAGGCTGAAAGCGACGCAAGGAGGAAAGGAGCGGCCAAATAGAAGGAAGAGTGAACGAGGAGCGCGGGGAAAGGGAAGAGAAAGCACAACCAAAACGGAAGCCACCGAGAGAGACAAAGAGCGGGAAGAAGTAAATGGGAAAAGAGATGCAGAAGGCGCAAAAAAGAAGGAGGGAGAGAGAGAACAGGGAGAAAGAAGAAACAGAGGGCGAGGCGGGGGCGAAGGGGAATTGGAAAGAGGGGAGCGCAAAAAGAAAGCACACCACAAAGAGGAGAGGAAGAGGAGAAGCAGCAAGGGGGCGCCCGGGAACGAGGGAGAGAAGGCGAGAAGCACGGGCAAAAAGGGAAGGGAAAAAGAAGGGGAAGGGTGCAGCAGGGGGAAGAAAGGCGTATAGGAGCGAAGGGCGGAGGAAAGAGGAGGGAGGGGGTAGGGGGGGGAGGAGCAGCCAAAAAGGACCAAAAAGAGACAGAACAAGGAAAAAAAAGTGGGGAAAAAGAAAAAAGGAGAAAAAAGAAAGAAGTAAAAAAAACGAAAAGAAGAAGGAAGGAAAAGCAGCAAGAGAACAAAAAAACAAAAAAACAGACAGGCAGGCAGGAACAAGACAGAAAGAAAACACACAACAAAAACGGGAGCCGCACAGCGTACGCCGGGCGGAGGAGGGGGAGCGACAGGCGGGCAGGGAGAGCGGGGGCGGGGAAAAGGGGCCAGAGGAGAAGGGGCTGAGGGGGAGCAGGGGCGGGGCAGGAAGGGGGAGGCAGTGGAGGGCCAGGAGGGGCAGAGGACCAAGGGGCCGACTCCAACAGAAAGAAGAGGAGAAGAAAGCGGAGGCAAGACAGGGGACCGGGGGCCTGCGGGGGGGAGGGGGAGGGCGGGCACGGGAGGAGAGGGGCAAGGGGTGGGAGGGGCGAGGGCGAGGGCCGTCACGCGCAGCAGCGACGAAGCCACCGAGCAGGGCGGGAGAGGGGAGGACGACAGGGGCAGCAGCAGCAATAAGCGGGGAACTGGAAAAAACGGGGCGCGTGGGAAGGAGGGAGCCAAGCAGGAGGAGCAGAGAAGAGCAGGCAGGCGGGGGAGGCACAGAGAACAGAACTGAACAGGAAAGGGAGCAGGGAGAAAGGAGAAGGGTAGGGACCGGGGAAAGGGGAAGGCGGGACCGAAAGCAGGGAAAGAGGGCACAAGTGGAGGAAACCCGAGGAGACAGGGCGCAGAAGGGGGCAGGCAAAAAGGGCAAAAGCAGGGCAGGAGAAGAGGCAACCGAGAGGGCGGACGGGAGGAGGCTACCGGCGGAGGGAGAGCAGAGCGAGCCAAAGGGGGGGCCACGCAGGACAGGGAGAGAGGCGCAGGCAAGAGGCAAAAGCAAAGCACAGAAAAAAGAATGCTAAGCAGTAGGCAGTGGCAGGGGAGCAGGAGGGAGGGGAGGCGACGCGAGGAGGAAAAGGGAGATAAAAGGGGGGACGACAGCGAGATAGAGGATGAGGAGAGGAAGAAGCAGGGGAAGCAGAGACCACAGCGCGAGAAGCAAGGAAGGGCAAGAACAGAGACAGACAAAGGGCCAAAAAGCAAAGAAACAGGGGAAAGAAAGGGGGAGGGGAGGGAAGAGCCGGCTAGAATGGGAGAAGGGCAAAGGGAGCAAGGGAAGCGGGGGCAAAAGGGGGAGAAAACGGAAGGGAGGAGGCGCGCGCGAAGAGCACGAAGGGGGGGAGGAGGAAACCGGAGGAAACGAGGCGCGAGAGCGAGCCAAGAGGGGGGGGAGGGGGAAGGGAAAAAAGGCGGAAAGAAAAAGAAAAAGCCCCCGGGAAAAACAGGGGGCAACAGCGGAAAAAAGTAGAGAACGGGAGCCTGGAGGCAGAAGCCAAGGAAAGGCAGAAGACGAAAAAAGAAAGAGGGAAACCAGAGAAGAGCAGAAAAGAAATGGGAAAAGAAAAGGGGAGAAAAAGAAAAGCAAGAAGAAACACACAGAGAGAGGGGAAGGGCGGGGAGGGAGCCGGAGCCGGGCACAAACAAAGAAAGGCGCGGCGGCCCGAAACGGGCGGCAAGAACAACCGGGAAGCGGAGGGGACGGAGGGGCAAGCGGGGCGAAGTAACAGGAAAACCGCGGCGAGCGCCAGCGAAACCCACAAGAGCGGCGCCCGCGCAAACGCCACGCGGGCCGCGGGCCCGGGCAAGCGTCGCGCGGCAGGCGGGCGCAACGAAAGAAGAGATACGAAAGGCAGGCGAAAGAGACGGACAAGGGCGGGAGAGAAAGCGAAAAGAGGGCGGGGAAAAACCCGAAAAAGTGAATGGCGAGCAGCAAAGAGCAGCGAGGAGGAGGAAAAAGGAGCGGCCGGCAGAAGGGGAGAGGTGGAAACCGGAGAGGAGGGGTGAGCAACGGGATAGGCCAGGACAAAGCAAGCAAAAGTATAGGAAGGGCGAAGAGAAGAGGGCGGAAGGAGACGAGAAGAGGAAATAAGAGTAGGGGGGCCAGCGGAAAGGAAAGGGGCAGCGCATGAAAGAGCGGGGAGGACGGAGCGCAGGGGGGAGAGGGGAGGAGAACAAATAGCGGTGAGAGCGCAGAGGATGGAGGCGAGAGGCTGTGGGGGGGGACACGCCCAAGGCAGCCAGAGGAAAGAGGCGGCGGACAGGCGGAGCGACGCCAGGCCAGGGGGCGGGCGCGCGGAAAGGGGCAACCACAGAGAATGAGCGAAAGAGCCCAGCAGGGCACCAAAGCCGGACAACGAAAAGCAAAGCACGGGACGGCGAGGCAAGAGTGCAGGGCAGGCAAGCAAGGCAGAACAGGCAAGGGGCAAGGAGGCGAGGCGGCAGAAAGCAAAGCAGAGGCAAGGCAGGAGGGAAAGCAAAGGCGAGGAAGCAAAGAGAAGAACCGAGAAAGCAAACGCAAGCAAGCAGTAGGCAAAACGCATGAAGAAAGCCGGCGAGCAGTCAAAGCAAGCGGAGCAAAGCAAGCGAGCAAAGAAAGGCAAGGAAAGCGAGGAGAACGAGCAAGGAAAGCAGAAGAGCCAGGGCCAGAGCAGCAAGGAAGCAAGACAAGAGCAAGAGGCCACCAGAGCAAGAGCGAGGCGCAGGAGGAGCAAGGCGCAGCGACAAGCAAGGAAAGCGAGGAAAAAGCGGACGAGACAGAAAAGCCAGAAAGCCGAGCAAGCAGAAAGCAGACGCCAGGGGCAAGACAGTAAACAGGCAGGCAAGAGCGAGAAGACGGGACAAGGACCAAGCACGGCGAGGGGCGGGGGGAGAAGCCAGGGAAGGGGAAGAGCCAGACGGGGTGGCAAAGAAAAAGAGAGCACGCGAGGCCGGCGGCCGCCCGCGGCGAGCGAGAAAACGCTGAGGACGCCAGCCAGAGAGCCAGAAGCAAGGGGGAAAGGAACCCCGGCGGCCCACCAGCGGGACAGGGCAAGCAAGCGCCAACCAACAGCAACAGGGGCACGGGGGGTGCCGGAGCAGAAGCAAGCAAGAACAAAGGCAAGAGGCAAGAGGAAAGCAAGAGAGAAAGATGCGAGGCAGAGCGAGGCAAGCGAGCAAGCGCAGAAAAAGCGGAAATCGGAGAAAGGGCGGGGGAACGGCCAAAAAAAAACGCGAGCAAAAGGGACACAAAAAGCCGACAAAGCAGAAGGCACCAAAGGCAAGAGAAGGGGCACGACAAGAAGAGAGAGAACGCGACGGAAGCAAGAGCAGAAACAGCGGAGAGGGTAGGAGAGCATAAGCGCGGAGAACCCAAAAGAACCGGGGAAAGCGGGCCAGAAAAGAAGCAAAGCGTGTAGAGAGGCGGAGCAGAACAGAGGAAAAGGGGGGCGGGGGAAAGGGGGGCAAGACAAAACGGGGGCCAGGGGGCGGGAACAAAAACACAAAGCGAAGCAACAAAACGACCAAACGGCAGAGCGAGAAAAAGAGGGAAAGAGGAGGCGGAGGCCGGGCCACGAGAGCTGCAAGGCGTGCAACATAGACGACGACGAAAAGGGGCGCGCGGCCGCCGAAAGCCAAGCGGGCGGCGCGGGGCCGGGCGCGGGCGCGCGCCGCAAGAGAGGGGCAGGGGAGAAAAGAAGGGCGCGCGCCGCAAACGAGCGGAGGGGCGGAGACCGAAGCGGAGCGGCCCGCGGATCGCCACAGCGGCGGCGAGCAGAACAAAAAGCCAAGCGGCCCGGACGAGGCCGCGGCCGAGAAGAAGTGGCCAAAAACCCGGCGCGCGGGAGGGGGCCAAGCACGAGGCGGCCCAGGACGAGCCAAAAGCGGCCGGGTAACGAGCCAGGCCAGAAAGGCAGGCCAGAAAAGACGCAGATATAGGAGCGGTGCAAGGCACGGAGGGCCAGGGACGAGCGCTAAGGAGGCGGCCCGGCAGAGCCGGGGAGGAAAAAGCCAAGGCAGAGAGGAACAGGAAGGAACGAGAGTCGCAGAAGGCGCCCACCGGAGAAAAAGGGCGCCCGCAGGGCGCCGAGGAGGACGAAAGCAAAAAACAACCAAAACATAGCGAGCCATAGCCAAAGCAAAAGCAAACGCGGGAAAGCCCAGACAGGCAGTGCAGGGCCAGGCAAGCACAGGGCAGCAAACAGGGAGGCAAAAAGAGCCAGTGGAATGCAAACCGAGCATTTATTTTTTTTTAAAGCAAAAGCCGGGCACGACACGGGCGCGGGGACCAACGGGGACGCCCCAGGCAGCAAGAGGAAAGGAGTCAGCGGAAGGCGGAGCAACGCCAGGCCAGGCGGGCGCCGACCGGAAAGGGGCAACACAGAGAAGGAGCGGAAAGAGCCCAGCAGCGGCCCCAAAGCCTACAACGGAAAGCAAAGCACGGGACGGCCGAGCAAGAGGCAGGGTCAGGCAAGCAAACCAGAACAGGCAAGGGGCAAGGAGGGGAGGCAGGGGAAAGCAAAGCAGGAGTCAAGGCAGGACGAAAGCAAGGAGGCGAGGAAAGCAAGAGAAGAAGCGAGAAAGCAAACGCAATCAAGCAGGACAGCAAAGCGCAGAAGAAGCCGGGCGAGCAGGCAAAGCAAGCAGAGCAAAGCAACGAGCAAAGCAAGGCAATGGAAAGGGCGAGGAGAACGAGCAAAGAAAGGAGAAAGCCATGGCCAGAGCAGCAAGGAAGGCAAGAACAAGAGCGAGAGGCAGCGCAGAGCAAAGAGAGGCTCAGGAGAGCAAGGCTCAGCGGAGCAGCAAGGAAAGCAGGAAAGCGACAGACAGGAAAGCCAGAAAGCCGGCAAGCAAGAAAGGAGGGAAAGCCCAGAGGGCAAGACGGGACACAGGCACGGCAAGACAAGAGACGGAACAAGGACGAAGCACGGGCCGAGGTGGCGGGGGGAGAAGCAGGGGGCGGGGGGAGAGAAGCAGACAGGGGGCAAGAAAAGAGGGGCACGCTAGGGCCCGCGGCCGCCGGCGGCAGAGCGAGAAGAAACGCCGAGGACGCCAGCCAGAGGAGCCGAGAAGCAGGGGAAAGGAAAGGCCCGGCGGCCCCAGCCGGGACAGGGCAGGCAACCGCAACCAACGGGCAACCAGGGCCATCGGGGGGCCAGGAGCAAGGAAGCAAGCAAGAAGCAAGCAAGAGGCAATAGGAAAAGCTAAAGAGGAGAAGACGGCAGAGGCAGAGGGAGTCAGCGAGTCAAGCGGATGAAAAAGCGAAAAGCGGACGAAAGGCGGCGGCGCGAACGGAAGGCTAGCAAAGGGACACAAAAAGCCGACAAAAGCACAATGCACAAAGGACAAGAGAAGGTGCACAGCATAGAAGAGAAGACGAGACGCGAGGGAAGCAGTCAGAAACAGCGGGAGAGGGGGCGAGGAGAGCAAGCGCGGAGAACCCAAAAGAAGGGGAAAGCGGGCAGAAAAGAAGCAAAGCGGGGAGAGAGGCGGAGCAAGACAGGAGGAAAAGGTGGGCGGGAAAGGGGGGGCAGACAAAACCGGGCCAGGGGCGGGACGAAAACACAAAGCGAGCAAAAAAGGACCAAAAACGCAAGAGGCGCGGAAAACAGAAAGAGGAGGCGGAGGCGGACCACGAAGCGGCAAGGCGGGAACAGGGCGACGACGAAAAGGGCCGCGGCCGCCGCAAAGCAAGCGGGCGGCGCGGCGGCGCGGCGCGCGCCGCAGAGAGGGGCGGGGAGAAAAGGAGGGCGCGCGCCGAAAACGAGCGGAGGGGCGGAGAGCGAAGCCGGAGGGGGCCACGGGCGAAGCGCCACAGCGTCCGGACGAGCAGGAACAGAAAAGCCCAAGCGGCCCGGACGAGGCCGCACGGACGAGAAGGAATGGCCAAAAACCGGGCAGCGCGGGAGGGGGCCAAGCACGGAGCAGCCAGAAAGCCAAAAGCGCGCCCGGCCATCCAGGCAGAAAGCAGGCCAAGAAAACACGCCAGAAAAGCAGCCGGGGGCAAGGCACGGAGCGGCCGGGACGAGCGCAAGAGCGGACGCGGCCAAGCCGGGAGTAAAAAGCCAAGCAGAGTAGAACAGGAAAGGGGAACGATGAGCGCACAGGGTGGAGACTAAAAGGGCAAGAAGACCAAGGGCAGCAGCAAACAGAGAAGCAGAGCGGAAGAGGAGGGGGAAGAAGGGGGGGAAAGGTAGAGAAGAGGCGGAGGGAAGGGGGGAGGGTGCACGGAAGGCAGGAAGAGAGGAGGCGGGCGGGGGGACCAGGCCACACACACACGCAGGGAGGGAGAGCGGGGAAAACGAGAAGGGAAGGGGGAAACCGAGGCGACGAGGAGGAGGGGCGAGCAGCGAGCGACGAACCGGGAGGAGTGGGGAAAAAACTACAAGGAGAAGGGAAGAAGAGGAAGGGAAACTGAAGGATACGAGAGGAGGGGGAGAGGCTAGGGGGACAAATCGGGGGAGCGGGGAAAACAACGGCCAAGGAGAAGGGGAAGGAAGAGGGAAGAGGGAAGGGGGAGGAGAAGCGCCGTGAGGAGCGAGAGCAGCGAGGACGAGCAAGACAAAGCGACGAAAAGGATGAAGAGGAGTGAGGGAGGAAGGAGGAGGAAAAAAGGGGCCAAGCGGATCAGATGGAGATCGGGAAGGAGCAGAGCCCCCCGAGGAGGAGGGGGGCCGAGCAGACGGGAGGGGCCGAAAGCGGGCAAGGGAAAGAGCAGAAGGGGGCGGCGAAGCAAACCGGAGACAACAAGAGGGAAGCCGAGCAGGAGCGAGACAAAGTGACCACAAAGCAGCCGAGACGAGCCGAATGAGCAGCCAAGGACGAGCAGGGCAAGGCTGACACAGCGGACGGAGGAGCCGAACAGAGGGGGCACCAGAAAGAAGTGGGGGGGGGGGGAGGAAGCCGCGCCGGGGATAGCACAGCAGGACAGGACAGCAGGCCAAGCAGCCGGGAAGAGGGGGGGGAGAAGGAGGGGGAGGGGGGCGGAAAGCCCCGCGGGGAAGCACGAGCGGGACAGGACGAGCCTGGCAAGCAGCCGCTGAGGAGGTGGCCGCGAAGAGAGGGAAGGGGGGGGGAAAAGCCCCGCGAGGGAAGCAGGGTCAAGGCACGGGGGGAGAAGGCGGGGGGAGCCAGGGAGCGGCAGGCGGCGAGAGAAAACGGAAAGAGAGAACGGAAAGGGAGAGAGGAAAGGGGGGAGGGGGAGAGAGGAGAAGAAGCCGGGGAGGAGGGGGCAAAGGCAGGGGGAAGGGGGGGCACACGGGGGCGGTGGAAAGCCGGACACCGGAGTGACCAGCAGAGGCACAAGGGCAGCGGGAGGAAAAGGGGGGGAAGAGGAAGAGCGCGGGTGGAGCAGAGGAGCGGGCGACGCGCCGGAGCGAGGAAGGCGAAGAGAGCGCGCGCGGCCGGGTGGGGGGCAGAAGTCCCGCCGCCGGGGTGGGGGGAGAGAGAGACGGGCGCCGGCCGCGAGACGGCGAGGAGCCAGAGCCGCGGAGACCAAAGAGAGCGGCAGCGGCCAAAACGGACGCAAGCAGGAACCGGGAAGAGGAGGGGACGAAGGGGGAAGCGGCCAGCAACCGGGGAAACCCCCGGCATCCACGCCCGGTAAACTCGCCAAGGAGCGGCGCCCGCGCGCAAACGCCACCCGGGCCGCGCGCCCTGCAAGTGCGCGCGGGACGGGGCGAGAGAAGAAGGAAGCGGCAAGGGCGACAAAGACAGCGAACCAAGGGCCGGGGACAAGGTCGGAAAAGAGAGGGCGGAAAAAAACCGGAAGAAGCGGAGCGGAAAACAGCAGCGAGGAGGGAGGGCAGGATGCGGCCGGGACGAGGGGCGGAAAGAGGGCGGCTAGAAAAACCGAAAAACCGCAGGGCGAACACCAAAGTAGCAGCCAGGAGGAGGGCAGAGCGGCGGGAGGAGGGGCAGGAAAAAGAGGGCGGCGAAAAACCCAAAAAACGGAGTGGTCGGGTGGGCCAAGAGGGGAGAGCAGCCAGGACGATGGGGAGGAGGGACGCGTAGGAGCCGGTAGGAGAGGAGGAGAGGCGAGGAGGAGTGGGGGAAAGGGGGAGGAAGCAGCGAGAGGACAGGAGGGAGGGGCGAGGGGAGGAGAAGAAAAATGGAGGGAGAGGGCAGGCGGGCAAGAGGAAGGGGAAAAGCAAGGAGGCGGCAACAGCAGCCGGGAGGAGAGACAGAGCAGCCAGGATGTGAGCGAGGAAAGGAAGGCAGAAGGAGCCCGAAGCAGAGAGCAAAGGGAGGGGAGGAGGGGAGGGGGCGGGAGGAGGAGCGAGAGCAGCCTAGGAGTAGGAGAAGAAAGGAAGCGGAAAAGCGGACGGAAAGGAGCAGGGGCAGGGGGGGCAAAGCAGAAAGGAGGGGACGAGAAGAGCAAAAAGACGAGAGACAAGGAGGGCAAAAAGAAGCGACGGAAAGGAGCAGGGGGAGGGAGGGGCCCAAAGCAGAAAGGAGGGCCGAGAGGAGCCCAAAAAGCAGCGAGGACGAAGAGGCAAACGAAACGGCGAGGGGACGAGAGCGCACGCCCGGGGGGGGGGGCAGGGCACCAAGCAAGCAGACGCGCGGACAGGACGGAAGGGAAAAAAGAAAAAAGACAGCAAGGAAGAGAGAGAACCCGGGACAAAGACAGGAGGCAACCGAAGGGAAGCGCAGGCGCGGGGGGAGGCGGGAGGGGAGGCGGGAAAGGGGGAGGAGACAGCAGGGAGATCGCGGGCCCGGACGGGAGCCTCGGGAAGGGGAGGTGCCGCCCAGGAGGGGCCGAGACGAGAGGGAGAGCGGCAGGGTCCGAGCAGGGCAGGGAAAACGGCGGAGGGCGGGAGGGGGGCGGGAAGGAGGGCGGAGGGAGCGCGCCAGGCCGAGGGGGGAGCGGGGCGGTAGGAGCAGGGCGGGGCCAAAAAGGCCCGATGAGCAAGGGGGGGGGCAAAGAAGGACGGCCGGAGGAAGCGGCCGGGCCCGAGGGGAGGGAGGTCGAGCGGCCAGGACGACTGGGGGCGATTTGCGGGCGGGCAAGCAGGGCGGAGGAGAGAAGCAATAGCAGCGAGGGGGAAGGTATGGAGAAAAATAAGCAGGGGAGAAACGAAAAAAGGGAGGAGAGAGAGAGAAAGGAAAAGAGAGAAAGCGGGAGGGCGAGATGCTGCGGAGGCACGGGGCGGTCCGAGTCGCCACGGGGGACAAGAAAAGGAAGAGCGCTGGGGGAAGCGGACGCCGAGCAGAGGGGGGGCAGAGAGAGGAGGGGGGGGCAGGGGGGCGCAGAGGGGGGGGGCGGGACGAAAAAGGGGACCCGGGGGGGAGTGACACAACGGCGCACCGCAGCATAACGGGGAAGAGGGGAGGGAGCACGAAGAGGCGACACGAGGGGAGGCGGGGCGGGAGACGAGTGAGGCACCAGGAGGGGGGGGCGACGCGAGGGGAGCGAAGAGAAATAAGAGGCAAGAGGGGAGGAGAGGGAGGCAAGAGTAGGGAAGAGGCGGAGAGGAGGGCGGAACAGGCGGGAGGGGAAGGGGGGGAAGGGTGAGGGGAGAGGGGGGGGAAAGGGGAGAGACGGCCGGGACGCCGCCGAAAGCGGACGAGGGGCGATGGGGGAAGAGGGAGAGAGGGTATGAACAGAGGCAGTTGGAAATGGGAGAGGATTGGCGGGAAGAGGGACGAGGGAAGGGATGATGGGAGGAGTAGGGATGACGGAACACAAGGGGAACTCGGGGATGTGGACGGGGGGGGAGAGAAGGGATGTGGACAGGAGTGGGGGTCCGACTGGGCGGGCCGTGTATATCTAGGAGGTAGTGGAGAGTGAGGGTTAGGTTTTTTTTTATTTGTTTGGGAGTCATAAGGTAGTTCTTATAGCATATGCCGACGGCCCGACGGGCAATAGAGTGACGACTCTTCTTTATTGAACCCAATGTCTATGATTAATTCTACAACAGCAAAATGGATTTCACAACAGCAAACTGAAGCCAGTGATATGTACTTGTCAGTATTAGTCTGTATTTTGAAGTGCTAGGTACCGATATAGATGTGCTATTTTATACTTTAATTTGATTTTGATCGGCATTCTATGAGATTTTACTGTATCGTTACGATTCATCGTTTCATTGCAGTGATCGCTGAGCATATGATACTACTAGCAATATAATTGATTATGGATGGATTATAGTATCTGTAACTTGACTTCATTGATGCTATGAATGGATATTATACTTATTATAGTTTAAATTGATTTCATTGAATATTGATTTCAACGTAATTATATTTGATATGATGATTTGAGGCTGATCGTACGGCGATGACTCTGAGTATCTTGATGATTGAGTTGAGTTTATCATGGTCTTCTATTGATTTCATCGACTAATGTGTGATTTCGTACTGCATTGACTGACTGATTTATTCCACGTGCCATAAAACTCAATTGACCTATTGACTGTTATAGGAGTTTGATTGCACTGACATGCATTTATTATAGCAAAGTCCGTGCTGTGATTTCAGTGTAGGCTTTGAGTTACCTTCGTGGGGCTATTTAAGAGCTTCATGATATATCGTGGTTGACAATTTCAGGTCCGCAGCAAGACAACTGGAATGGGTTTGATCAATGAATGTCAGAATGAATCCTTTCTCAGCTATTTGATGCGGGCGTACGGGGATATCGACGTGTAGACATTGTGTCTAAATCCCAAGCACGAACCAGTAAGTAGTGAAAAGGATTTGATGATAGTTTGACATAAAATGGATATTTTTGCATACATGTTTGAATACATATGTGATGAATGCACTGAATGACCTGTATGACTTCAACGAGTCTTTTGATTTTGATTTTGGCGTAGTGGATCGATTTTGTGGTTTGGTTAATTTTTTTGCTTCCGTACCTATAGGGAAATGTCGGGACGACATTCTTCTCTAGTGTGGGGTAGATAATTTGAGATACTCGTCCCTTACTGTTCCTCTTAACTGGATTTTTCCTCCCCAGGATCATGCCACGGCGCGATATTGAATCGTCCAGGACCAAGCAGTCGCATTGAAAACAGCTAATTTCATGGGAGTATATTTTCTTGGAATGATTCTGGACTGGATCGCCAGGCCGATTTTTGGATCGTTGGGACGATCTAGTACTTTGGCAAAACTCCCTGCGAGAGCAAGGGTTTTCGGCAGAATTAATATCGGCCTGAGGAATCGTTCGGGCCGAATTGGATTTTGTTCTGTGCGGCCAGGACGATTGTGGGCGATCGGCCGGGGCTAAGGCTGATAAGCTGGATATAAGCAAATCAGCTGTTTTGAGGAGAAGAGAAAATTTATAAAATAGAAAATATCTGAGGAGAGAGAAAGAGAAAGGAAAAGAGAAGAAAGCTTTGGATTTCGATGGCCGCGGAGCACTCATCTGTACTGTGATGATCTCGTGGCAGGACTACCGAATCTTTCTATTTCTGGAGATATTTGAGTTTTTGGCTCGTTGTTTGTGCTTAGATTTGATGTTTTTTTCCTGAAAAATGGACCCAGTTTTGATATTGACAAACTTTCACCGCATCAACTTTTTAATATGGTTATTGATTTCGAATATTTCCGATTGCATCTTTCCTATGGAAACATTCACGGTTATTTTGGCTGTCTACGCGGATTTTGATCTAATAGAAAAAATATCACGGATGTTTATTGATATTGATTCAGTAGAGTAAATAGTCTTACTATTATTGATCAGTGAACTTCTCATTTGTTAATTGTGTGAATTAGATTTTGTAGATTTTGGTAAATTTGATAGACTGCTTACAGCCACCGAAATTTTCATACGATTTCCGATTTTTCTGAGATTGATAGCATGATAGCATATGCATATGAATTATTTAGCTTATGCTTTACTGACTATGAATTCATTATTGATTTTATTGATTACTGGAACACAAGTGGAACCTGTTTGAATGTGTTGTGAGATGTGATTTGGACCTGTACAGGCATGGTGCGGCCGAGGCTTTTCTTCTTAAAACACTTGATTATGTATATGGTATGGATCATAAGGCAGTCCTTATTAGAATATGCCGACGGGTGCGGCCGACGGGAAATAGAAGTGCCACTGGACTCTGTTTTATTGAAACCATCGTATATGGATTTATCCGTAAACTGTAAAATGGATTCTACAACAAGCATAACAAGCCAGATGATTGTACTTGTTCTAGTATTATCGTATTGAATGCTTATGTTTACTGTAATTGGACTTATGAGTTATCTGCTTATGATGTTGATCGGATTTATGGATTTCTGTCATCGTACGATTTCATCGATTTCATTGTTTGATCGCTGCCCAGCATTAGTTACATACTGAGCCATTAGATATGATATGGACTGGATATTGTATATTTTATTGATTCAATTGATGTGCGATGGACATGGATATTATAGAATTGTATAGTTCTAATATTTCATTGACTTTATTGATCGATGTGATTGTCATGATTTGGCGACTATCGACGGATTCTTCTGTATTTTGGGAATGGTAACGTTATGAACTTGACTTGACGTTTGACTTATCCGTTCTTCTATGATTTCACTCAACTCTGATTTCCATCATGCGCATTGACTACTGATTTGATTTGTCCGCATAGACTCAGACCATTGACCTGCACATTGCTGTTATGGATTTGATAGATTGACATGCATATTGTTTCTAGTATCGTGTTTTGATTTCAGTTGTAGGCTTTGGTGACCTGCTGGGCTATTTAAGCTCATTATATGTGGTTGACAATTTCAGGTCCGAGCAAGGCAACTGGAATGGAGTTCGATCAGAATGTCAGACGAATCCTTTCACTATGGATGCCTGGGGCGTCACACACACAAAGAAATATAGAATAAAAAATACTATGAGATATAAAGATATTTGTTATCATCAAAAATATAAAACCCATGAGCTCAAGTAATAACAGATATTTCATGAGATGACCCCCAATCATTTAAGATGGAATAACATAATTATTAATTTAATGTCACACACACAAAGAAATATAGAATAAAAAATACTATGAGATATAAAGATATTTGTTATCATCAAAAATATAAAACCCATGAGCTCAAGTAATAACAGATATTTCATGAGATGACCCCCAATCATTTAAGATGGAATAACATAATTATTAATTTAATCTTCTAGTATCATCAGCAATATTATATTAGACAATTAATATAAATTTTGAATTGATTGTACTGGACTATCCAGTGATCACCCAGTACTATCAGGTTTAAACTCTACACATTATGCAGGAAGATCCTTTAATCATACTAGATGATCTTTGATGCTAGAATTAAATTTTTAGGGTTTTTCAAAGCCCTCTATTTAAGCTTTCTCTAAAGACATTGTAAGTATATTTAGCATGCATTTAGTCTCTATTCTTCTTGAGAAAGCATGAAGAGAGAGCTTTGAAAGGGAAAGAGGAAAGAGTGGAGTTTGAGAGGGAGAAGATCCTTGTGGGTTTCGATGGAGAGTAGAAGAGGTTTTACATTGTTACTTCGACAAGCTTGCACCTCAGTACCATCAGATTCAAGGTTTGTTTTGAAGAAAGTTTAGGGAAGAAGAAGATTTATTTGTTGTGAAAGGATCAGGCTAACTAAACCAATATAAATCTATAGTGTGTTTATTCTTGATTTTATTTTTCTACACTTTATTTTCCACATTTATTTTAGTGATATTTATATGGTTTAAATATTTTATTTTTTAGTATTATGAATTTACTTTGCTTCTGCATCAAGGGATAAAGTTATCTATTTTTCAGATGTTGAAAACTGTTTTAAAAGGGGGATTTTTCTTTTTATTTAAAGAATTTTTTAAATTACCAATTCACTACCACTCTTGGATAGCCTCGAGACTAGTTCATAAGGGTTTAACAATCCTCACAAACTTTCAAGTGATATTAGAGAGAGAATAATAAATTAAGTTTTATAAAACTTTTGAAAAAAGATCAATTGCTAACTTTGAAAATTATAACATTATAGAAGGATATTCAATCACATAACCACATTTATTTCAAAATGTTTCTTTTGATTTTTGGAAAATTTGTATGTCTATGTTCTTGCAATTAATTGATTATCGAATGTGGTATATGATTCAAACTGATTATTCCTATACAATCATATCTTATAGATGTAGTCAAAACTTTTATCCCTTTTACTAAATAGAGTAGAATAAAATAAATCAATGCTCAATCAAATGCTAAATGCTTGAATTATTTTTTCTGTGCTTTGAATTTTGAATATTGCATGAGAATCTCTACATGTACTAGTGGCAAAAAAATTTGGGATAGATTATGCTCTACATACAAAGGTACTAATAAAGTAAAGCAATATAGGTTGAATATTCTAATGCATGATTTTGAACTTTTTTTCATGAAACCTTATGAGATGATCTTAGAAATGTATACTAGGTTTACTCAAATTGTGACATCTTTAAATGCTTTAGGTAAAGAACATTCAAACTTTAAAAGGTCAATAAAATTCTACATTTTCTACCTGATAAATTTCATGTTAAAGTTATTGTTATATGTGAATCAAAAGACTTGAATGATTATTCTATTGATAATCTGATTGGCTCACTCATTACCCACGAGCAAAGTTTAAGTTAAAAGCTTTTGAATGCTGATGAAAATGTAGTACTAAAATCTAAAGACATGGATGGAGGTGGCTTAGTAGATGATGAGAGTGAGGAAATAGCATAGAAAATACAAAAAATTGAAAATCTACTACAGTGCAAGCATCAACATCAACAAAAGAGGAACAAAGGTAAACATGGTCTTGATAAGATTTCTTATAATATTATTTATGTTAGGTGTAGGAAAATTGGTCATATGAAAAATTAGTGCCCTAAAATGAAAACACTTCATGCAAAGAAAAATGATAAAAATAAGACAATTATAATATGGACAAATTTTAAAAAGAAAAAGATCTCCATGACAGATGTAGCTTCAAAATCATCAGACCAGGAATAAGATGATGAGGTATAAAGTTTTTGTTGTGTGTTTATTTATGTTATTGTTAATGCATGCATGTATGTTTTTTTTTGTTTTTTTTTGTTCATCTTGAATGCTTTTACTTTCCTTATTATTTTAGTTTTTTTATTATTTATTTTTATAATTTTTTATTTTATTTTATTTTCATGTATATTTTGTAATTTTTGGCTGATCATCACACACAAATCACACCTCACATCATATTTACATAAGACATTCGATCACCTCTCAGATTTTATTAAAAAAATGAATGAAAAATTAACCTTCTTTTTACTTCAATTTTTGGCAAGTGATTATAGAATTCTCTAAATAGTTAAAGGGAGAAAAATTGATGATTATCCCTCTTCCTCTAACTCCTTTAGTGGTGTGATTTCTTTTTGAATAAAAAACTATTTAAAATTAAAAATTAGACCAAGAAATAGAAATCTGTTTCTTCTTTCTACATTTCTCTATCTCAATTAAATATTTTTTGCGAATTAATGAATATATTTTAAAATTTACTTATTCAAGCTATTTGTCTATATCAGGTGGATTAAGTTTTGGTTTGTGATTTGCTCTTCCCTTTAAAAGAGAGTAAGTTCCTCTTCTCTTATATTTGGAAGATAATTTCATAATTGAGTAGATTTAAGAACTTAAAAAGGAAACAAGTTGGAAAAAATGAAAAGAGGAATAAAA